TTTATACTAATGGCAAAATTTTTACGTTGGGCTATGTCAGTTACTTTGGTTTCATTGCGGATATTCTCATTTCTTAGTTGGAGAGACCTTGAGCTTTCTTATACGGACAGCTGTGAAGAACTAAATCTCACATTCATAAGTCATCACTGGCAACTCGCAATGGTTGTACAATCTCGTTATCAAGTTTTGAGGTATACCTAACGAGAGGATATATCGTAATGTCCCGAACACTGCCTAGCCGAGACCAATACGTTCGATTGAGTTTTCGGTCGAAGTTCGATACACCTAGTTGGACTATTTATTCCAGGTAAACATACTCGTCAACAACTTCGAAGTTAGTGCTCCCAACGATTACCGACTTAGTTGTTACATGGAGACCGCGTCTAGGCTAACGTAGTGTGGAATGCCCCCAGACCAGATGGAGTGACGAACTGCGCAAAGTAGCTAGTAGAAACTGGATGCGTGTAGCCGAAAATCGGCTAAGTGGTGCGCCTTGGGAGAGGTAATTGTCTAGCACTTATTTAGGTATCTTCTCTATTTATATAAATCAATTATCGTCCGTTAGTATTGCTAAAGCTCAAAAGCAGTTTGACCGATTTTGATGATTTTTGTTTATGTATTTGAATGGGTCCCTAGATGATTTAGATTCACATTTGGACCCGGTAGTTTGTAATGTTGTCGAGATCCAGAACTCACTGAAGCCGGGGCGGATCGATAGGGAATAAAAAATATTACGAAGTAAATTTTCTTCATATGTACTTTTAATACTTATTAAGAACATTTTGAGGTATAACAGAGTAAAATTTAGAAAAGGAGCTTTAGATTGCATCCATTCACTAAAGAAAATCGTTCTGTGCTGAACTCTAGACATTGTAATTGAATGCCTGAAGACCATTTTTAATTAACAGTTAGCGTTTTATCCGCCGATCCGATTTAAGTTGCAAATTATTTATTAAATAGTTTTTAATTGATAGAGTGAAATAATCAATTAATAAATGTTATTGGACTTTGAAAAATAAATTTCTTTTCCATTAATATTATCTAAGTATAAACTGGATGACCTTTTTTACCGTCTGGAAAAAATATGTTTTAACATGTGAACGGAGCACACTATTATTAATATATGGCACTAATATTTTACAAAAAATAAAAACAAAAATATTTGAATTAAATAAATTAATTAATTAAAATCTACCGAACCAGAACCATACTTAACGAATGGCAATAAAAATTAATTTATAGTAGGCATCTTTGATCTTGTCACTTCGCGGGGTCACAAACTAGGGTGAATATGATTTGAATTTTGATAGATTTTGATCAATTAATTTATTTAATTCACAATTGTTTTTGTTTTTGTAAAATATCAGTGCCATACTCTACAGTGTCATACATCTACTTCGTTCACATGTTGCACCCTATTTTTTTACAGACGGTAAAAAAGGTCATTCAATATAGTCCCTAGTATATTATTGTGGGTTTCTGTATTAATGCGTGTGAAAAGAGACATTTTATGGAAATATACGTTTTATAATACTAATATCTTTATTTTGACCAACAAGGATTTGCTACTACTAATTATTTTATATGAACAATATAATTAGTATAACTATGTGATAACATAGCCTATTTTTAGTAATTAGTTACAATAATAACGAAAAGTTGAATAAAAATAAATAAATAAATAAGAGAATAAATAAAAATCTTTCAAACCGAAATCAACAAATGAAAAACTCCTGTCTTGTTTTGATATAAATTACCACGTTTAGTAGTTTAATGCTGCTGTGTTTCGTATGGTGAGCGTAGAGAACCGGATACCCTTTTTACTGAAAACGAGGCATCCTAGTCCTCACGGGTGACTACGCATCTGCATTTTGATTTGTAATCGAGGATAGATGTAGATGTCTATGGGCCGCAGCAACCACTTACCATTAGGTGGACTGTCTGCTCGTTTGTCACTCTATCCTAAAAAATAGTGATTCAATACTGTCCTCTATAATACTGCTGGATAGGCCAGTCGCAGTTACGAAAGAATAGTCTGTTTTAGTTTATAACGAATATCGCGGTCTTTCATAAACCTTGAATTAAATAGGACTTTATAAATATAACGAGAATATAATATTTTTCATCCATTCATTACTGTACTCGTATATCAAAGTTCACTGCTAAACATAGGCTTTACCATATATTGTTTATTGAAAGCATTTGTAAGCATTCGCAGTTGTTTTAGTTTCTAGTTTTTATCAGGAAGACGTTGCGGCCCAACTCCTGGCTCGATTTCCTCTTTCGCATCTTACGACAACCACGGGTCATGGGGTAGTTGATATCTTAACCACTACACTCCACAATATAAGTAAACATTAAATATTAGGTGACTAAATTTGGTACAGTTATAAACTACAATAAGTCTCACAGGAATTCCGAATTAACGTTACAATAATATGTATGCTTCAATTTATTGTGGTTTAGGTTCAAACCAGCGACAATGTTCAGCGTTTAGATTTAGAAACTTAGGAATTTTGTTAAATAACAAGATTCAACTGTCACGTCGTAGATATTCAAGTCGCTGTGGTTCTTACTATCTTAGCCATATCTTGTGCAAGACTGTATGTCATAGTGCCATATTACTTTTTCCTTGGGGTTACTAGGGTTTTAATAAAATGTAAACTTATTATCTAATCGAATTTCACATAGCGGAAACCAAATAGCTTATCAACCTCGTAGATATTGTTTCACGTAAATAATTTATTTTTTAATGAATAAAATAATCCTGAAGCCTTTTTCATAGATCATGAATTTTATATATATATTTTGTATATCCTTTTCTTCATCATCTTATACTCATTCACTGCCGAACGTGTCTCTATCCAAAGCTAAATATAGCCAAAATCACCACGCTTTGCAGATATCTTGCAACTTTTAATATGCTATTTTAAGTATAGCGTAAACGAAGTAGTTATAGCTTTCTCTACCGGATGATTATAAGACCTTTCCAGAATATCCTGAATATGATACTTACGACAACCACGAGACGTGTTGTTTGGTGTGGCGATTGAAACATGGTCTATTACGGCATTTTTTTTCTATTACTAATCCGCTGATAAAGAGCGTATAGTTTGTGAAAACCAGTTAAAGAAAATTTTTTGTATATTTGTGGAATATTTTAGCCCACTCATCTTGATAGGTATCAGTTATAATAAGCTTATTAGTACCTGGATGACCGAGCTTTGCACGGTTTTTTTTGAAATTACATTTAGATACAAATTACGTACAGATAAAACACGAATAATATTTTTTGATCTTATTGACATAATGGAAAAAAAACTCAACTGCTATTTGAAAAAAAAATTATGAGTGCGATTAGTTTAATTAAAATTTTCATATTTTTAAAAAATACTAAATAAGGGCTCGAAATAATAGATTTTCTCACAAAAGAAGGAAACTTGAAAAAAAAAGGAAAAAAGAAAAAAAGACCGAAGACGGGACGTGAATGTGATGTGATGCCTTGGGCATTACGATTTTGCGACCGCTCGACATCCACTTGAGCTATTACGATCATTAACATATTGTCAAAATTTACCTTCTTAAATTGTAGCAGTTTTTCATGGCCTGAAAACACGGACAAAAAGGCATTTTATAAAAATAAATCCTAGCTAGATCAATTTATTGCCCCCGAAACTCCCAGGACACTAAATTTAATGAAAATCGTTGGAGCCGTTTTCGAGATTCAGATTATATATATATATACAAGAATAGCTCGTTTAAAGGTATAGGATTAGATAATATTTTTTTAAATAATATAGGCCCTAGTCGTCTACAATTGGTAAGGTGCTTGAATGGTACCTCGATGGTTTATATATATTTGTTAAACTATAGTAACTTCACGTTGGTAATTTAAAAAAAAATTAAAGAGCAACACTTAAAGGTATATCACAATAAGTGATTTTATAATGCATATTAATAAGTTCGATAAATTCTTAAACTTTGAACTAATTAAACAAGAACAAGGACTCGAACTCGCCACTAAATTCTTTATTTAATAGTTCTAGGATCTGTGGAAATAAAATTTCACTTGAGATGAGTTTGATGCTTACTAAGGAGTAAGATTTCCTTTCTGTGTTGAAGTTCGTTTGGGTTGGTACTATCCATATGCCCATTTCTGTAGGAAGTGCGTGCAATGCTGTGTTCCGGTCTGAAATATATATTCACAGATATATAATAGAGGGTATATAATTGAGGGCCAGTATAATTACAGGCTGTTAGGCATTCCTTCTTAGTCCTCGGGTAACAACGATCTGTAGCTTTCCTCGTTTGAATTTAGTGACACGTGTTCATGAACTGCAGTTTCTACTTACCATCAGGTGGTCTTTAAGTTCGTTTGTCACTGCAAATTTATATAAAAAAAAAACGAGTGTGCTTATGGACACACGACTGAAATAAAACTTCTTTAGCTCAATCTGATATATATATATATACAGATGGAGCTAAAGAATATATAAGAGGTGCAAGCCATCGGAGCAAGGTCGATAATTTAAAAAATCCATTCGATAAATCGTTGTCGATCGCGTTTGCACAGTTTTATCGTAGTGTGTGTACGGAAGTCGTACCAATCGTCAGTTCGTTCGCACGGCTTGGTGTAGGGGGACGCGTCCGCGCACGTTAAAATATGTCGGAAGATATTGGAAGAGTTTATCCAGTGCTATAAGAATGAAGTTTGTTTGTGGAATAAGAAAAGTAAAGATTATCACGACCGCAACAAGAAAAATGCTGCGTACGATAGGCTAATTATTAAGTACAAACCTATTGATCCTAATGTCAATAGGGAGATGGTAGTAAGGAAAATAAATAACCTGCGGACTTCTTACAAGAAGGAACTCAACAAAGCCAAAAAGTCCTTAAAATCCCGAGTCGGAACCGATGAAGTCTATGTTTCTCGTTTGTGGTACTTCGACCTAATGAATTTTTTATATGATGAAGAAATACCAAGGCGGTGTATATCAAATATGGAGGATGAAAATGAGGTAAGACTTTATTATCGATTTATTATTAAATGTTAGTTATTGCTTAGGTAGACGTCTTATGTATTATTTTAATTTATTTACACGAAAGTATGTCTGCATTATGTTATGTTATGTTTACCTAGCAATTTTGAAATATTTTTTTTATAAATTAATTGCATTTTTTTTATTTCTGTTTATTTTTCTAGTGTATGTATGTTTAAAACAGATAGACAGACACACTTTCGCATTTATTTTTTAATAATAATTTTTTAGGTATGGTTTAAAGTATATTCTGTTTTATACGTGGTCGGCTCGACCGGGGAAGGACACGCTCTCATAGAATACCAGCGTAAAATAGTAGCTTAATGCTGTGTTTCGTATGGTGAGTGCAGAGAACCGGAGACCCTTTTTACTGGAAATGAGGCAATCCATCTTAGTCCTCACGGGTGGCAACGCATCTGCATCGACATCTATCTTCGATTCGTAATCGAAGATAGATGTCGATGTCTATGGGCCGCAGCAACCACTTACCATCAGTTGGAGTGTAAGTTCGTTTGTTACCCTATCCTATTAAAAATGTAGAATAAATAAATGAAACGGTATTTTTTGTATTTTATATATTAAGATGATTTTGAAGGAAGAAATAAACAACATGCAGCCATATTCAATACGTTTAATATATGCCTATTAATTAATGTATAATATTTTCCTGCCAGGTGACTTTTCCCTCGTTCACAAAATAACTCATAAATTCATTTCTTATTTGTTTTTTTGTTCTCTCAGAATCTCCTTGACGAGTAAGTTGTAATGGTTCAAGCGTTGATCTTCTTGCTGTAAGTCCTCACGACGTTGTACCCTCTTCAAAGTTTTCTCTATCAAAATAATCTGACGAAACATATGTAGATAATGATGTTGTCATCAAATAGTTGTGCAAAACACAAGTTGCTCTAACAATTGACTATGTTTTTAGTTGACATATTAATTTGTGTTCTGTAAATTCTAAACCCTGCTGCTAGTACGCCAAATGCGTTTTCAACTATGCGGCGTGCTCGTGATGTTCGGTAATTGTAAATCTTCTTCACTCTACTATCCAAATTATTTTGTCGAAATGTTTTCATCATATCTTTTCTAAGAGGAAACGCGTCGTCAGCTACGAAAACATACGGCAGCGTTCGTGAACTATCGCTCAATGTCTCTTGTTCAGGAATGTTTAAATCATTATTTTCCAACTTTTCGTTAAACTTCGTATTCAAGAACACTCCTCCATCTGATACTCTGCCATTTGTACCAAAATCAAACAGCAAGAATTTGTATTTTGCATCAACAATTGCCATGAGAACCATACTATGTCTATTTTTGTAGTTGAAATAATAAGAACCACTGTTAGATGGAGGCACGATTTCAACGTTCTTGCCATCAATGGCACCTAAACAGTGAGGGAAGTTCCATCGTTCATAGAATTCCCGTGCTATTGTTTTCCATTCATCTTCTGTTTGTGGTACCTGAAACAAAAATAGTAATTCATTATTAACTTTTAAATATACATAATATATATAATACAATACAATATTCTTTATTGCATATAAGAAAAAGACGAAGGATACAGAGAGAACATAAACAATTAAAGAATGTATGAGAGGCGGCCTAGTATATGGTGCAAGTGTTAATTATTTAATCTACAAAATGAATAATTTATTGACTATTGCCTTGCCTATTGACTAAGAGAATACCAAACCCTGTATTTATTTTTTACAGGAACACTTCTCATCGCAATACAACTATTCTAGCGTCGAACAAGACCCACCAACCCCAGGCCGATCTGATGTCGAAAGAGAAACACCAACCCCAGGCCGATCTGATGTCGAAATAGATACACCGACTCCAGGCCGATTTGATGTCGACTGTGATACACCAACCCCAGGCCGATCTAATGTCGAAAAAGATACACCGACACCAGGCCGATCGGATACTGAAAGACGCACGCTACGACTAAATCGTTCAAAATCCAAGAAGAATGCGTATGAAGAGGCACTTCGAAATGTGAATGAGCATTTTAAACGTCCGAGGTTTCCGGAAAATCGTTTTGAAGTATATGGACGAAGTGTAGGCATGAAATTACAAGAATTACCAAAACAGCAGCGAATTTTATATAGAATATCATTGCAGAAAAAATTATTAATGAGACATTGTTCTTAGCCGAAATGGGTGATTTAACTACCTCATATACTGTCAAAACCAGAGATTTTACTAACACATTTTTTTCCCCTCAGCCAGACATTCAAACATCATATAATCAACTATGCACAGAAACCTTTTCCACTCAGCCACACATTAAAGCATCATCTAATCAACCAAACGTTCAAACTGTCTCCACTCAGCCACACACCGTATTAACCAGAAGCCCAGGCTCACGATTCTCTACGGCTGCTTCATTTATAAATAGTTTTGGTGTTGATTGATTTGTATTGTATATTAAGATTGTATTTATTCACTCTTGAATCATTATTTTCGATCACTATTTCATTTTCATGATTTAATTAATAAAAAATACATACGATCACAATTGTGTTTTCTTCATAGCATCAATATTATCAAAAATGTTATCTAATAGGTATGTAGTTCCTTAGATAATACATAGGTGAATCTACTTTTAAAAGGTTGTGTTACTTTTTCATTAAATTGAAGAAAAGCTTTTGCTGCGAGTTTTACCTCTTTAAAAAATCTTTACCATTTTATTTACGGAACTTCCAGAAATTTTTAGCTTTATTCAAAAGATATAAGCAAAAAAAAAAACGAAAGATTTAGCAAAATTAAACAGATTTCGGTATTACTTATAATATTTTTATATATTATGCAAAACTTACCTTTAAGTAATCTTTCTGTAGAACTTTGTACAAAGCATCACAAGTTTCAGGAATAATTTGACTGAGAGCCTGTTTTGATATTAACGTAGAAAACTTCATACATTCGTACGAGCGACTTGTAGCTAAAAACCTCAGAGTTGCAGACAATCTTTCATGAGAACATATTGCTTCTCTCATCACGGTATTGCTTTTTTGTATTAGCAGTGTAACTAAAAACGGGAGATGTAAGTAAGTCTCTTCATTCATCCTCAAATAATTGTGCCAGTCTTTTGGGGAAAATTTCAACTCGTTTAATAAATTTATGTGAGAGTATGACTTTCTTTTAAGAAGCCAATCCTTACACCACACTCTATATGATTTTCTTTTTTTTTACACAAAAGCCAGGCTAGCGCAAGCGCTTCATCGTCTTCCATCACGAATGACGTGTTTTTCTTCTGAGTTTCTGCCGAGAACTGACGATCGACGCAGATATAGTAGATAAACGTTCGATAAACTGCGCAAACGAACTGTGCAGTTCGTTTGCGCAGTTTTATCGTTGCCGTGTATACCGGGCTTTATAATGAAAGAGATATAAGATCACACACTTTTAATTTTATACCACAATAACTTTATCTACACTTCTTTTTATAAAAACTCACAAATAATACTCACAAAGTTTTACCAGGAAAATAGAACTACACCGACGAGTGCTGGATCTAAAGTGAGTCTATTCCCGCTTTCGTACAATAAGGAAAACGTAATAACATCTTAGGTGTGCTCTGATTGGTCGACGATTTGATTGGTCAATACTTCACTAAACAATAACTTTTTATTGGATTCATTAGGTTACTTAAGTAATTTCAATTACCAGGATTAATAATCAAATCGACAATTATTTATTCTACGATTTAAAACAATATTTGAGTTAAAAGTTGATAATCGAATAAATAGTTTTTTTAATAAGAATTAGTTGTCAATAAGGAGATTTGTAAACCAAAAGAGTTTTAAAGAACTAGCTAGTTACATGTTATGTTTCTTATAAATTGCTGTTATTAAATTGTAATATTAATAATTATACACTGTTGATTATTATAATTTATAACAATTAAAAGACAATGCAAAGTTTAGGATTCGTCAACAGAAAAAGATGTCCTTGCGGCGACATATATATATATATATATATATATATAATATATATGCATATTACATATACATGTATATACATATACATATATTAATTTTCTACAAATATTTAAACTTATTATATATATTCTTCCATAATTTGTTATAATTCACCCGAAAATTCACAAAACATAAACTTTAAAATGAATTTACAGCTTTGTTCACTTTAAACGTAGAACATTTAATGTATTGAACTAAATATTAATTCATAAAATTGTTCAAAATGAAATAAAATTGGGATAAAAGACATTTATTCTCATAAGAATTTACACAAATCCATTCAAATGAGAAATACATTAAAAACAAAATAAATAATGGCTGTTAGGTTACGTAAGTCGTCACCGAGCGTGAAAGGCAAAGTACACAAATATTTTATGTTACAAAAATATTATATAAATAGTGCGGGTAGAAATTTTACCATCAGAATAGGATTGAAGATCACCCGTGCAAGTAAAAACAAACGGTGCAAGCGAACACACATACGGGGATTTAAAGATGCTTTACTAGAATTGACTAGCCATCATAACGAGAATCATTGTAATATTGTTAAATTATATTAATTATTAATATGATTGTTTAATGATATGGGTTGGATTTAGAATCGTTTGGCAGGAATTTGGGAGAGTAAGGTATTTTATTCGGTAGAGGTTTGGTCCCTGGTTATAATAATACCACTCACCGTTATCGAAAAAATAAATAAACACTATTATAACCTAAAATGCGTAAAGTATGGAAAATGATACATTTTTTATTATTAACTGACTTTACAGCTCTGGGTTCTAGCCCTTCTGAGAAAAAAATAATACGATATTATTGTGAAAGCTGAAAAGCGTACAGAATTCTGTGGCTGTGGCGGGAGCAAAGGCAACCTGACTATAGATAACTGATCTGATCGAATCCGTACTAAAAAGCAAAGCTGGGCTCCGTCGACCGGTCTTCCCTCCACTCTGCTATGTGGTGTTTCCCTCCCCCAACTCTCTCCCCCCTAATAATCAGGTTTATATAATCAATAACATTACAAAAACATAACCTCAAAATTAGATTTTTAAAAATTTATAAAAAAACTAAGCATGCCCGGCAGGATATGGAAGTAGGGGTGATTCTACCCTCCACCACCTCGCACCCCCTTGATTCATTTAGAGTTATCATTTCGAGGTTAGTTATATGGGATTTTCTTTTTGATTTTTTCAAGAACGGTGATTTACCTTTTAATGTGAGTGGTATTATTATAATCGGGGACCAAACCACATAAAATACCTTACTCCCCCAAATTCCTGCCAAACGATTCTAAATTTCAACCAATGATATTTAGTAACCGTAGTGATGGTTTTTAATATTTATTCGTTTATTATATATTTAGTGTTATTATAGTTTGTGATTTTGTAGACTATTTTTTAACAGTTGTTGTTAAAATGAAATGTTAGCATACTTTTAGCTTCCTTGATATCTACAGGCAATTTATTGTATTGTTGTGCGTTTTCATAAGTGATGTTCTTTTTTCCGTAGTTGGTTCTTTGCCGCCGCAGAATTAAGTTATTAGCACTTCTTAACGTTTTAGTTTTTATATTTTCCTTTTTTTGTAAAAGTTAAGTTAGTATGTATGTTTTTATTTAAAATTACGAAAAGTAACTAGCTATGAGAGATAGAGAGAAAGAAAATGAGCGCGTGCACTGCTTTCTCTTGCTTATATCCTCACTCAACTCCAGTTCACCTCGCCCGATCACAATTTTCGTAACACTTACGTCACGCGTTCGCCAGCTTACTCCCAAAGTCAAGCGTGCGTAAAAAAGTTTGCTTCAAAAATTTTACATGAACGCAAATAACAGTTATAATATTATTCAAATATGCTGTTTTCTTTAATGTTTAATCATTTCAGTTTTAATAATTGCACAGAAAGATCCATTTGATAGTCAACAAAACAAAAAAGACACAGAAGTGCAATAAAAACGCATTTCTATTAGCGGGAAAATCTTAATGGAAAAGATGCAACGTGCTTTAACACTGTAAGGTACGACCACACTGTATAGAGGATATTGATTTTTTTACGCCTAATTTTCATCGGTATCTCCTTCCCGGAACCAATTTTAACGTCAACATATTTATTCACTTTCGCGTTTTAAGACTTACCTACGTAAAAAAAAGTATTTTATTAAAGTAAAAAAGGCCTTTTCAGTGTTGATCTAAGTTATAAAAGGAAAAAAAGTGAGTATAGTTGAAGTGTATGCCGCAAAATAAAAAATACTGCTTTTTAATTTAAAACTCCTTCATTTTTTATAAAATTGGGTGGCAAGCGAGAAAACAGTCCAATTGATGTTAAGTGGCTGCTGTGGCCCATAGATATCTACATAATATATCCTCGATTAAAAATCAAAATGCAAATGCGTTTCATCCCTGAGTACTAAGATTAAATGCCTTGTTTTCAGTAAAATAGTAATATAGTACTGTGAGTCGTGGTGCCTCAGCGGCTAAGCAGCAAGCAGTAACTTTCACTCACACATGTGGCCCAGTAGTAGGACATATGCATGCTGTAACTTTACTTTTTTACTTTATGTAATGGAAAGTATTGTACTTAGCTAGTTTTAAATTATTTGCTAGGAGGCTATAATTGGTAGGTAAATTCTGTATATAGTATTACAAAAAAATATTAAGGAGAGGTTCAAACGCCGTTATGATTGCGCAACTAATACTAATTTATACATACTAATATTATAAATGCGAAAGTGTGTTTGTTTGTTTCTTTGTTTGTCCCTTTTTCACGTCGCAACAGAGCGTCAGTATGGCATGATTTTTTGTATGGGGATAGTTCGGTGGCTGTAGAGTGACATAGGTTACTTTTTTCCGCGGAAAAACATCTCGTTCCCGTTCCCGTAGGAAATATTCTATTTTCCCACGGGAATGAGATGTTTTTCCGCGGAAAAAAGTAGCCTATGTTACTCTACAGCCTCATTCCCCTCGGAAAATAGAATATGTTGCAAAAGTTTGTCCTTCTTTCACGTCGCAACAGAGCGTCGGCATGACATGAATTTTGGTATGGGGATAGTTCGGTGGCTGTAGAGTGACATAGGCTACTATATCTCATTCCCGTGGGAAAATCGAATATGTTGCAAAATTAAATTCAGCTAAATGGCGCCACCGTGATTCTACAAGATGGACGACGGTACGATGGACGAA